AGACACGAATAGATAGATAGATAGATAGATAGATAGATAGATAGATAGATAGATAGATAGAAAAAAAATGCTGTGATAGATAGGCACGAATAGATAGATAGATAGATAGATAGATAGATAGATAGATAGATAGATTGACCGATCGATCGATACTAACATACTGCGATAGATAGGTAGACACTAATAGATTTCGATAGATAGATAGATAGATAGATAGATAGAAACATGCAGCGATAGATAGACACGAATAGATAGATAGATAGATAGACTGACCGATCGATCGATACTAACATACTGCGATAGATAAATAGACACTAATAGATTTCGATAGATAGATAGATAGATAGATAGAAACATGCAGCGATAGATAGACACGAATAGATAGATAGATAGATAGATAGATAGATAGATTGACCGATCGATCGATACTAACATACTGCGATAGATAGATAGACACTAATAGATTTCGATAGATAGATAGGTAGATAGATAGATAGATAGATAGAAACATGCAGCGATAGATAGACACGAATAGATAGATAGATAGATAGATAGATAGATAGATAGATAGATAGATAGATAGATTGACCGATCGATCGATACTAACATACTGCGATAGATAGATAGACACTAATAGATTTCGATAGATAGATAGATAGATAGATAGATAGAAACATGCAGCGACAGATAGACACGGATAGATAGATAGATAGATAGATAGATAGATAGATAGATAGATAGATAGACTGACCGATCGATCGATACTAACATACTGCGATAGATAGATAGACAGTAATAGATTTCGATAGATAGATAGATAGATAGATAGAAACATGCAGCGATAGATAGACACGAATAGATAGATAGATAGATAGATAGATAGATAGATAGATAGATTGACCGATCGATCGATACTAACATACTGCGATAGATAGATAGACACTAATAGATTTCGATAGATAGATAGATAGATAGATAGATAGAAACATGCAGCGAGAGATAGACACGAATAGATAGATAGATAGATAGATAGATAGATAGATAGATAGATAGATACTAACAGACTGTGATTGAAAGAGAGAAATAGAGTGTGAGCGAAATTCAAGACTGAAGTAGATTCATTCTTTATGCATCATTCATTTCTATTCGTGTATCGAACATTCGTGATATTTTTATATTTATTCTCATTGTTTTTTGTGACTTCAAAGAACTGGTGGCTGGGAATCTTCACCTAACTCCGACTTGTTTAGCCGGGTAAATGTCTCAAAAATAGCTCAAAACTAATTGTTATTCTTTAAAAATCTTTCCAACGTCTTCCTCCGTTTGTTTAGCTGAAACTCTCAAACAATTCGAGTTTTCACATCTGCATTTTGTCAAAGAAAATTTTATTTATTTCTTCTCTGCAGCCAATTCTGTAATCTTATTAATTATAGACTCTCCAAGCGGTAAAATTTACGACTTGACTTCTTTTTGGACTGCCCACCTTCCTGGAGGAAGACAATGACTTGTATAAAATCGTTAACTAAATCGAATTAATAAACATACGTACAGTGCTAATAATTATTGTAGTGAAGAATGAAACCAAAGAAATGACTAACAACTAAAAAATTAAAACCTATCACCTTACTCCATAGTTTGCTAGATCCGCCTCCAGTAAGTATTTATATTCAATCCATTATATTCACTTACGTGCTAATACCCTTGGGAAAGGTATGAATCCTCTTCTTCTCTTCCCAGGTATGGGAAAATAGCAGGACAGACCGGGTTCTATAGCCTTGGGTGGCAACTGGTCTAGCGTAGAAAGAAATAACAACCTCCCGCGGAAAAAAAATCTGCCTCGTCACTCATGTATCGAAAGATACATGATCGTCTAAGCGTGTATCACTGTCCAGTCGAATCCATTAGATTCACTTCAGTGCTAATATCCTTGGGAAAGGTATGAATCCTCTTCTTCTCTCCTAGACTTTGGATGGCACCTCATGTACCGCAGAAAGAAATGGCAACCTACCGCGGGAAAAAAATCTGCCTCGTCAGTCATGTATCGAAAGATACATGATCGCCTAAGCGTGTATCACGCATGTCACATAACAGACTGACTGACTTTCCAGTCGAATCCATTACATTCACTTACGTGCTAATACCCCTGGGAAAGGTATGAACCCTCTTCTTCTCCCCTACAGCTAGCTATGGGTAAATAGCAGGATAGACTGGGTTCTATAGCCTTGGATAGCAACTGATCTACCGCAGAAAGAAATAGCAACCCACTGCGAGAAAAAAATCTGCTTCATCAGGCATGTATCGAAAGATGTGTGATCGCCTAAGCGTGTATCACTCATGGCACATAATTAAAATTAAATTAATTACAGTTAAAGATAGATCAATTAGAAATAGTAGTTCAATTATAATGGCGTCATTCTGCGATGTGCCGTGTACTTTTCAAAATATGATGAAATTGCATCCGCGTCCTTGTGGGTGATGAATTATTTACCATCCGGCAGCCCATCTCTCGTTGCTCTATCGCTACTCCGATGGAAAGTGTTCAAACGAACTACATTCTTTAGTTCAACCGATTATAACCTTCACGCCTAAAACTCGCCATGCCACGCCCACTGTAGCGAACCACCCACATTCCCTTCATATTCCATTGGGGGGGGGAGATGTATGTTCCACTCGCGCAGCTTCTTCCCGGGAATAGCTACTTTGTGGAACAGACTCACTACACTCGTCACTTATTCAAGTCTGGGGTCAACCATTACCTTCTTCACATATCCACATAAACTGTGCCTTTTACTCTGTAACCCTCTACCTGGAGTGGCTCCCTGGGCTTATAGAGAGTGAACATCATTGTAAAGAAAATTAAGTTTATTCCATTTATTTGCTGACAAGTAGTGGAAAGATTATATTGAAACACTTGCTAGGAAAGTTGGTTCACTCTGTTGAGCTAGACAATCTTTCTCTCCAGAATCTATCTTACACGTTTAAGTCAACCATATATATATATATATATATATATATATATATATATATATATATATATATGGCTGATGCTAACCTTTAGGAGAGAGTGACTCGTTGTACCTTCTTGGGTTAATATGCTCAGCTGACATGAAATGGAAAAATTATATTATTTCAATTGGTAGATCTGCTGCTAAGACAATTTTCTCTCCTTAATCTGTCTTAATGTTTAAGTCGACCATATATATATATATATATATATATATATATATATATGTGTGTGTGTGTGTGTGTGTGTGTGTGTGTGTGTGTGTGTGTGTGTGAATATAAAACATAAATATATATATAATATATTATGTATATTATTTATATATTATATGCGCGGTACTTATTAGAAAGCGCTCAATATTATCAGAGATAGAGCTAACATATTTAACATCAATCCAACCAAATATATATATATATGTGTGTGTGTGTAATCCAAAGTTCTTTAGTATTTTTGTTATTATTTTTAAAAAAACAGTGCTCGATACAAAAGTAGAGCCTAAATATAATTATTTATTTAAAAATATGATTCCATTTTTTCAAGCGAATTTTTTTTTTTTTGATTTTGGTTCCCCAAAAAAATTTCGCTTGAAGATGGAACAGAACTTGGTACTTTAATTCAGTTTAATTCAAATAATTATAATGATGTTTTCGGCTCTTGTTTTGAAACATGAGAACTCTTATGTAGCGATGGAATCATATTTTTAATTATATATATATATATATATATATATATATATATATATATATATATATGGCTGATGCTAACCATTAGGAGAGTGGCTCGTTGCGCCTCCTCGGATTAACTTTTTCAGCTGACATGAAGTGGAAAGATTATATTGAAACAATAACCAGGCCTGCTGCTAGGAAAGTTGGTTCACTGTGTCGTTCTAGACGATATTTCTTGCACATTTATATGTTTACTATTCGTCCATTCATTGTATATGGCTGCCATATCTGTCCAGTTGCTTCTGCTCTGTATTTAGAGATTCTACATGAAATACAAAGAACCTGCAATATTATTAGTCCTGACCTGGCATCTCAGCCTCAGTGATTTCCCCATCATCGCAAAATAACCTCTGTACCTTTTCTGTAAATATTTTCTTGGTAATTGTTCTAATGAGCTTTCTCTTTTTTGTACCTAGACTTTATGAATATAAGCGCAGTACTAGATTGGCGGAAAGGTCTCATCCTTTTACAGTTGAAATTGCTAGGTGTCACCGTAAATTTTACGCTAACACAAAGGCTTTTAACACAACGTTGAAAATCTCTGTTGCAGTTGTAAAAAGAAATTGCAACTGACACGTCCAGAAAAACAATCCCCTGCCCAGTGGCAAAAGCTGCTGGTGGTGCCAGGGGTGGCAGTACCGCCTTAGCCACCGAAACTGTGTTACCTCCCCTGGTGGGTGGTAACGTGGGAAGGGTATCACCCTTAACCCCGGAAGAAGTTGTTGGGACGCCGACATGATGAGATATCCACCATTCTCCTCCATCTGTCGTGGTCGTGTGCTGGGTCTCCGCGAATGGGTTTATGGGTATATGAGGTCCTCGATAGAGAAAGTACCTTTGATGGGACGTTGTACCTTCGGGTGGACGGGCATCGCTGGTCCTCAAACTTCTCCTATATCTCACATGATGGTTCCAAGTTGCCATGCCTCGGTAAACCATTTCAGCTGGCGGGCTAAACTCACGTGAGTGGGTGGTGTTAACACGGCACCAGTGGACGAAGGACCTCTTCGAAGCAGGTCACCGGCCAAGGCGGAAAATTTCATCAGGTGAAATAAAACAGCCACGCGTTCGCGACCAATGCGAGCCACCTAGTTAGAGGATATCGGCTGTGATCTAACCTGGAAGAGGAATCGGCTCCCCCAGGTTAAAAATCTCAAGTCCCGCCGCATCATGATGATCACGCCAATAAACAACAAAAATGATAAGAACGGTATGCATCATAGGTCAACGCATCGAAAGGTGCGTATATTTTTCCTGCCTTCAAAGACACCGTGCTATGAGATAAACTTTTAGTCTTAATGACAAGTTCACTTTTTTATGTCACGACACACGAAATATGGAATGCGAACGAAACTTTGAAATCTTGCTAAAACGATACGATCTTTTATATTGCTAATAAGCAATTATGTCATGTCTCTCTAAGAGCGATAATGGTACCACGCAAAACACTAGTGCCTGCTTTCTGCATCGGCGACTAAACCAGTTTACCCACCAAGCTTTTGTGGTAAGAATGGTGGCTTGATTAGAATCAAAACCTGTCAAAGAGTGGATAAACCTTCTTTTAGATCCAACAAACATCAAACATAATTCAGAAGGTAGCCATGACCGTCTGCCTTAGACGACAATACCACATTCAAAGTTACTTAAAATGATTTTCTATCCCATACTATTCAATGAAATAAAATTCAGCAGATAGGCATGACCATGTACAGAATATAGATATATACAAACCTGTTACATTCGTACTGTGCATAAAATAGTGGACAGGTACTTCTCACTTAGCGACATGGTCTTTAAGTTAAGAGTTAATATAATTATTAAATTTTCTAAATCTTATCTTTAGTGGTGCTTAGAAATATTACAAACTAGCTTAAAAACCACCCGATCTGGCAACATTTAAACTAGTTCCTACGGAGGGCTCTTGATTGGACTTTCATCGCAATAGCTAGGGAGGAGTAGATGTGATAAGCAACAATAAACTACAGAAGAACCGAAAATTGATCGCTGAATTTAAGTATTGCATTAATATTTAAGATTACCTTTTAAAAGTTCAACCATAATTCTTCTGTTGCCACTTAAAGTCAGTTTGATGTACGTACGTTCTTTCTTTTTGTGCAAATTATTTTTTATTTCAGAGGTGACTTTCGTTTGATTTCGCAATTAATTTCGATTATTCCCAAATTTATTGTCATCGTAAAAAAAAAAAAAAAAACAACGTCGCAAAAAAAATCACGTAAAAAATCGCCGAAAACAATTGCAGTAGTGAATACTTGGGAATCTAAAATTTCAGAATTGCAGGTCTGGATCCAGCCCGGAATGTTTTTATTTTGCTCACAGAGTCGACCTGATTCTAAAATGGTATGACACAGCCTCTAGGAGTAAAGTTGAAAAAGTGTGACACAGTTACATACTGATATTTGCATCTCTATCCATAAAAGGCAGGATGTGTGTGTGTGTGTGTGTGTGTGTGTGTGTGTGTGTGTGTGTGTGTGTGTGTGTGTGAATGCACGGCCGAAATTTTCGACGGATTTGCACCAAAAATTTACATGCACATGCTCCAAGTTAGCGGGAAGGCCAACACCGACTTTGCATTTTCCAATTCCCATCGATAGTGAAAATAATCGATTTTTTCATGCTTCTACGGAAGTTTTCATGTAGTTTGCGGCCATTTTGAACTGAGAGCTGACTGCCACGAATAGGCAGAAAGATTCTATTGGCCAGCGTGAGAGCCAACAGCTGACTGACACGAATGTTAATTAGCATGCTAGCATACAAAAAAAATCGATAGCTGCATTCGTCACACGTGGGAAAAATTTAAATCTGCATGACACTTTACTCCAATTGGTTCATTCGCTTGCTTAAACTCAACGTTGATTCTGATTCCGAAGAACTGGGTTCGGTGTGAAAAAGTATTTATTGTTAACATTCTTTTTTCATTCGGTTTTTTCCAGTTACGAGTCTTTTTTTAAAGCTGATCGTTTTGTGTTCATTTTGTTTAGTTCTTTTTTCGTAACAGATTTAATGTTTAGTATAGAGCTTAGAAAAAATTGGCAGTGTGAGATAGGCAAGAAGTAAGGCATGTAGCAACATCAGCACGTCAAAGAGCACTCCTTTAATAGCAAGGAAGGGCAAAAATATTTTAAGTCAAGTGATAGCGATTGCTGTATGAGTCGTACGATTTTTGAATCAAGCACGGGCAACGCCGGGCCATGCTGCTAGTTTATTATTTAGATGATACAATAGTTACGTTAAAAAGCTATATGAAGATGATTTACTCAAACCCATTACACACGTAGTATTCCTGAAATAGTGAATTGATACAACTTCCTTAGCGACTCAGGCGTTAAGTGTGAAGAGGATGTGTTATTATTTTATAACTATTTCTACTCCATTTTATTATTGCTGCTTAGATATTTTACAGATATTGCAATAGTTAGGTTAGAAATATCTGATGCTGGTTTAAATGTTTATAAAGTACACTGATGTGCTGTATAAACGTTTAGAAATATATTAGAACTCTGGAAATATCGGTTAGGTACAAGTCCTCGCTTAGCGATCAACCCTCTTATTAGACTGATGATGAGGATGAATAAACAGTAGTTAAATATTATACACGGTCACGTATGTAGGATGCCCAAGTGAGGATCGAACTCACTATAGATTTGTCACGAAGATTAGCGTTCTAAACATAGTCCCATTTGATTCGTTGTCATTTGCTTACCTTACTGCACAAATCAACGGCACGGGTATTGATCCACATACTAGTACCATAGTGACCGTTTTTGCACCAGCCGCAAACTTACCCACACGCATATATATATATATATATATATATATATATATATATATATATATATATATATATATATATATGCGCGTGTGTGTGTGTGTGTGTGTGATTTGGTTAAAGGGTTTTGAAGACTCCCCGGGATCAGCTTCGTCAAGCTCTGAAGCAGAGACGCCATCAAAATCCTGCTTTAACAAATTTCATCTGTGAATGTGACTTTGTTGCCCGCAGCAATGCCGGGCTAGTCTCACATTTAAGAAAGCACGAATGAAATATGTCTTTCCCTTACCTGATTTTCTCCACAATAGCCCCTGCTAGCATGCATAAGTGTAAAACAGAAGGCACCATCCAATGTTGATCCTCATTTATCTTTCACAGTAGGAGAGTCCACTATATATATATATATATATATATATATATATATATATATATATATATATAATATGAGAAAGAAGTTATAATGGTTCCAACGAGAGAAAAGTATGTATATTAAAAAGAAGAGAAGAGAGATGCCGAAAAACGTTTTTGGTTGTAATAATTTGTTTTTTTTTAGAAAAAAATATTATGCTTTATTTTCCATAATTTTACTACACGCGTTTCTGGTCTCGCGACCGTCTTCAGGTAAAAGGCGGAGATTTCCACATATTATTAAAAATAATTATTTTTTCCTTATGTTTTTCAATGTTAGATATTCTCGATATGAGACATTTTCTATTTTTGTGTTAGTAATCCGAATGCCTTTCTTGAATTGGCAATGAAGAGTTCTGCCCGAAGGGTCATAAAACAATTAAAGTTGGTCCAAGAGAAATGATGAATTACTTAACGGCATTTTATCTTTTAATGTTTTACTGACCCTTGTGCGTTCTTAGATCTGTTTCCATTTTCGTGTGTTTCTGTCAGCATGCGTGTATATATGCGTGCGTATATTTCCCCCTCCTTACATATACTATCTTACTATGAGGAATTAGTAAACTCATTCGTACACATACACATATACATACACACACGCACACACACACCGTCCCACCACAAGGAATCAGTACATACACACACATACATACATACACACATACATACTTCCCAAGTTACATGGAACCAGTATACACATACACACACATATATACACACATATATACGTACATACATACACACGTACTTCCTAAGTTGTGTGCGGTTTGCGTGCGTGCCCGTGAGTACTTCCCTTGATTTTGTCAATATGATATATGTGTGTGTGTGTGTGTGTGTGTATTTTCTTGCCTCACAGATACCCGCATTTTAATTTTCGGATTTTTGTTTATGAAGTTTTTTCTTGTATTTGTAGGTACGAATAATTGTTTGTCTGATATATCGGCATGATATTAAATTTACCCTGGTTACATTTGAAGATGTGTTGTGATACAAAAAGTTTTCTGTTGTCTGCCAATTTTATATTGCTTTTGTGTAGGGACACCCTTTTGTTCAGTTGTTGGCTGATGCCTATATATGACTTCTTACATTTTGTGCATTTAAGTACATAAATTACATTTCTGGAGTTGCAGTTTAAGTTTTTATTTATTATGAATGTCGTTTTGGGGTTTTCAAAAGTGTAGGAGTTTCCTTCTATAACGATGTCACAAACCCCATATCTTTTTTTGTTGCATTTTGTGACTCCCTGTATTGTGTGTTGGTTAAATTTGGATGAGGTTAATATGTGTTTTAGGTTTTGAGATTGGCGTTTGCTTTTAATTATTTTGGTTGTTTTTAGTATATTATTCAGTTTATTATTCTTGCTAAGTAAGTCTAGATTTTTTGTAATTTCTGTGAATATTTCTAGATTGTTTTTGTTGAATGTTAAGACATATGCTAGAGTTTGTTCGACGTTACGTTTCTTTTTATTTCTAAGTTGGTCAAGAGGAATTTTTTTTGCGAGTTCAAAACCTTTGTATATTAGTGTTGTGATGTAGCCTCGTTTTTTTTAGAGCTTTAAGTAATTCTTCTAAGCGGGTTTTTTGGTGATGTTTATCAGTCACTATTGTACAAATTCTACGTGCTAGGGAATAGAGGATGGATTTTAGGCAGCTTTTTGAATGATGGCTCTTGAAATGAAGATATTGTTGGGTGTCTGTGGGTTTGTGGTAGATATCTGTGATTATGCGGTTGTTTTTATTTCTAATGAGTATATCTAAAAATGGTAATTCCTTAAAATTATATTCTTGCGTGAATTTGATTTTTGGGTGTAATTTTTGAAGTAGTGTGTGGAATTGGTTAATATCACCCCATGAGGATTTCCAAAAGATGAAGCAATCATCTAAGTATCTTTTCCAAGATTTACTGAATTGGGTTTTTATATTTGCCCCATATATTTGTTCTATCCTTTCATAGAGGTTTTCTTCTAGGTAAGCTAATGTTAGGTTGGCATATGTTGGTGCCATTTTTGTTCCCATCGCAGTACCTAGGGTTTGGATATAGTTTTTGTCAAATTCAAATGTTTAACTTTAAAAATCAGAAGGTCAGTTAAATCCCCTACCTGGTAAGTGGTCATTTGATAAAACTCGGTTGAGGGTACCGTAAGGTTGAAACCAAGGTAGCGGATTCAGATGACTTCCTGATTTTTAAAGTATATATATATATATATATATATATATATATATATATATATATATAGGCATCTCTCGATTAATTCGTATTCGATTAATGCATTTTCGATTACATACCAAAATTTGATTAGTATAATCAATACTTGAAACATTGTCTATAATGATAATGGTTTATTTTTCTGACCGCTTCTAGTTAATATTTTATCCAATTCCAGTGAGAGAGTTAATTTTTCCTGATAACAAAATTTATTAATATATTTTTTCTCTTGTTTCCTATAATAATAATAATAATACAGTATTGTGTCAGAGAAATTCTTTCGTAGTAGTAGTAGTAGCAATTTCCTTCTCTCTAGTGTGTTTGCTTAGTTTCAGAACACAGAAAACACATTTTGGACCTGTTTTATATATATATATATATATATATATATATATATATATAAAGAAAAATATACGGAAAAAACAAACAAAAATCCTTATATACAATTATGCTGTTTTAATGTTAATATGTCAACGTCGGACGTTTCGGTCTAATAAACCATCTTCAGGACATATTCATAAATTATAACATTATCAATACAACATGACAAAGACGATGTACTTAAGAACAAGACTTATCCAAACAGATAACTGAAATATATACAGAAATCCCTCGATTAGTGCGCTAAAATTTTTCTATACCACTTTTCGATCAGTACATACATAATAATACTCAATTAGTACGGTAAAACATTCTAACCATAGTAATTGAAAATTGTTTTTCATAGTTACCAATGTACACATTAGCCGTGCTAAACGCGGGAATCCTGTATTGTTTAAAATTTACTATATTTATAGGGGAAGAATAGTCAATATTAGCAATAGACTGTTTACAGATATACAGTATGGACATAAATATATAACCTGTTAGTCAGTTTCACCCCCTAAATAGATCTTCAGACCAAGTAACATTACTCTTTTCCAGGGCTATATATATACCGGGATGTCTATGTAGGTTACTAGAGGATTAATGGAAGAGGAAACTGACCCTTCCCAGTTTCTTTTCTTTATGGCTAATGTTGATGGTTATTTACGGCCGTGAGCTTCACATTGCTGATTTATTCTGGTTGAGTGGTTGGAGGTAGTGTGTCAATAGACTAGGGTTATTTATGTTTATCATGTTTGTATTCCTTATTTATATTTGCTATCGCTAGCCTTTAATTAAGTAACAGTGAACAAATAGTCTTTTATGCAAATGTGTAATAAATCAATGATGTAACAGCAGTTTTATAGATATAAGCATTTAAACATAGTCATAGCTACCTGCTGAATTATATTTCAAGCATCCGTATGGGAAAGAAAGGCATTTTAAATCACTCTGAATGCGGTACTGTCACCGGGGCCAAACAGCCAGTCCTGAGTATTTCAAAACAGGCTGATCTACGATGATTTCCACGCAACATCATCTCCCAGGTTTAAAGAGAATGATCAGATAAAGCAACAGATTCGTGTAGAAGTCAAGTGACTTACCTGCCAACATGGCTGCCTTCTGTTTCCTTGTAAACCAAGCCAGCTGATTTTACCTCATTTTATAGGAGAGTGTCCAGTTCGGTTGGTCCATTTTGCTAGAATGGACCTGTCCAATACATTTACATGAGTTGTCTTTATTCACCCATATATTTCTCCATGAAATGACTCAAGTCAGTTTTAGCTTTGGCTACACTTGCCTACTTCTGTGTCAGGCCACTGGCAAGCTAACCAATATTCTACAAGAAGCTCTGGATGCAAGACAATTCCAACCTTGAAGCATTTAAGTTACAGTAGCAAAAGTTCTTACTGAGTGTCACTTCTGTCAGATAAGAACAACAAAAAAAAACTGAGGCTACAATTCACTAACGATCGATACCGATCTGCAAGGAATTTTTCGGACAAATATTTGTTGAATTTAAAGAGAATGGCCAGGAAAAGAAACAAATTCCTGTGAGCGTAAATCGCTTGTTGATGAAAAAAGTTGAAGGAGAAACTGCTTCAAGCTGATAGGAAAGTAACAGTAACTCAACTAACAACTTGGCCATTCCACTTGAACGCACTTATTCAACCATTTCATCAAATATAATTCCTGAAATTGAAAGCGACAACTTTCTTCTTTCTTGAGGAGTAAATCACCAAATCTATCTACGATATAAACTAATATAATTATTTACTAAGTTTAACCTAGTCTGACACAAGGCTATATTTATGAGGTATGGTAGCTGATTACGTGCCTCAGATTATGACTACGGTTCACCCATCTTCTGGTGGCCCCTTTCAGCAAGACAACGCTCTTGATCTTACTATGTACTATTTCCTTTCAAGGTGTATTTGATCATAGCTCTCCACAACTTCCTTCCTTTTCTTGTTCGAAGTAACTCTTTACTCTTTACCGCAGCCTT